TAATGATGTCTCCAAAGTTCAACGAAGTTTTCGCAGAAAAATAACATCAGAAATCGCGGGCGCGGTTTGCTGCGCTGTTCCGCGACGAAAACAAGCTTGAGCAACGGTGATGTCGAATGGTGCACACTCGGTAAGTAATCCTACAACTTTTTGTTTATAGCGTAGTAATATACGTATTTTGGAAATGTTGAGTCGAATTAGTCTAGAATCGATTAATTTTATGGAAGAAAACCTTTCAAACAGCCGTAGTCCGTAAACTTCACACGTGTCAGGCTGTGATTGGCTGTGATTCCTACAAAATTGATTCATAAAGAATGGAACGTATCTACTGTCTTATAGGGGGATCGACTGTATTTATATATTACTTAGAGGAGTCTTTTAGCTTTGGAATAAAATGTTTCTACATTCTATTTTTATTAGAACTCTATTTATTGAATCTTTTATTCTGAGGTCACGTGATGACATCAGAATTTTCGGGTCTCTTTCGGTAACAAGTCCTCCAGTGGTTGGAGTTGGAGTCAGATGGTAAGGAAAAGTCGGAGTCTAAGTCTGAGTTGTTAGATTTTTATGCGACTCCACAGCCCTGGTCCGAACCTACGGTTCCTCTCGTACTGAGCAGGATTACTATCGCAATGACTAGTCATCAGTAGGGTAAAACTTAGACCATCGTGAGACAGGTTAGTTTTACTCTACTGATGACTAGTCATTGCAATAGTAATCTTGCTCAGTACGAGAGGAACTACAGGTTCAGACACTTAATACATGTGCTTGGTCGAGCTACCATCTGTGGGATTATGACTGAATGCCTCTAAGTCAGAATCCCCTCTAGCCGCGGCAATGATATTGTACGCGTCCTTTGTCAACGAATATTGAAATAAAAGAATAAATAGTGCCAAGTGATCGTTATTATGCTACATTGCATTTATAAAACAAAGGTGTGTGTTACTGTCTACCAAAGTTATAGCTTTATGTAATCTTGATGTTTCTTGTTTCTTGTCAAAAAACTCCCACACATCAGTTTTTAATGGAGGTTAACTATATTAGTCAGGCCACAGCCAACTTTACAGGGAAGAGTTAGTCTTTCTATGCACAATTTTGGATGATATTGTTTATGCTTAGCAAGTGTTCTTGTTTTCTTTTGGAGTTGCTTGAGATCCAAAAGAATAAGTGAGTACAGGGACAATATATGTATTAATAGTTTTAACAGTATACTTTGCATTTAGATGTGTTCTTAATACTGTATTTAATGTGTTCTGATATTTAAATGATAATGTTTGTTTTATCTGTGCATGTTCTTTAATTTTCACCTGTTGGAATCCTAAATATTTGTAAAACTCACCTTCTTTTATGGACTCGATAAAATCTCCACTTCTGAGTACAAAGTCTTTCTTCAGAACTTCTTTTTCAAAGTGGAGTGTTTTGCATTTTTCTAGACCAAACTCCATTTATATATTTGAGAACTGTGTAGTTTGTAAAAGATGATGAAGCTGATTCTGTGTTGATGCATAAAGTTTGATATCATCCATGTACAGTACATGAGATATGATAATATAAATATCAATAGTGTTGTTTTGTTTTATCTAATATTGTAAACATATTGTGTTTTGTTCAATGATAAAGGGTTAAGTACAAGGCAGAATCAAAGAGGATTCAAGTAATCATCTTGAAAAAGTCATTGCTTGATGTATATCTGATTTGTTTTTAAGTGAGTATTGTGGAGGTTAAGATGTAATGTTGTTCTCTAGTGGAGCATGTTAAAATCAATGAAACTAATGAGTTGGTGATGAATTTTGTAGATGAGAAGTGTAAGTAGCAGCCAAATGTGTGGGACACTGTTGAATGCTTTTCTGTAATCAATGTATGCCATGTGTATGTTTCTGTGTTGCTTATGTATTTACCATAAGATAGTAACATCAATAAGTAATAGTTATTTCAACCTTTGTGGTTTCTATGGCAACCTTCCTGTTGTTCTGTAAGAATGCTGTGTTCATCAATATGATTGTATATTTTGTTTGCAATGCGAGAGGTAAGTAAGAATTTTGTAAAGTGTTGGAAGACATGTAATTGGTCTGTACTGTGCAGGGTCTTTGCATTTTCTCTCTTTGAATTTTCTCTTGCAAGGCATTACCTACATGAAACAAAAAACACCACCACCAAGGTGGTGTTTTTTGTTTCATGTAGGTAATGCCTTGCAAGAGAAAATTTGGCATATCTTGTGGATTGTTAATGGTATGTGTTAAATGTTTAGTTTGTGGCCGTCGGCCATGATATGGTGTATTCTGTATATTTTATATTGAATTAGTCTTAGATTTTCTTTGTTTCTTTGTCTAAATCTTTCTAGAACTTTCTTTGTCTAACTCTTTTTGCCCTTGGGGAAAATTACCTTTCCCTGGATAAGGAGAACAAAGAGAGAGGGAGTGAGGCCCTGAAGCAAAACGGACAGAAAGGGTAGGAGTCTGGAGTTGAGATCCCGAAGAGGTAGGAGGTGAAAAAGTGAGTGCTCCTACAAGGAAGAGATGATCTAAGACGAGAAAGTGCAGAGAGAGATCATCGAGGGAAGGCGACTCAGTCCAAAAGAAAAAGATTGTAGACGAAAGGTCTACAAGGAAAAGGTGATCTAAAACAAGAAAGTGCAGAGAGAGATCATCGAGGGAAGACGACTCAGTCCGAAAGAAAAAAACTGTAGACGAAAGGTCTACAAGGAAAAGGTGATCTAAAACAAGAAAGTGCAGAGAGAGATCATCGAGGGAAGACGACTTAGTTTGAAGTTGTTCCCCACCAAAGGGCTCATCGCAAGAAACCCGGGTATTTCTACTACTTTCCTTATCTATCCTTATATCTTCTATTCTTCCATTTTTAGTTTTAAGTTAGTATAAGTTAGTGTAAGTGAGTACGGTCCTCGTCAGATTGTCGCGTGTGTGCAAGATAACTGTTTTTGAGGACAAACATTGAATGCCTGTATACATATTAAAGTCTGGAAGTTGTAAAGTTGGGATCCAATGTAAAGAACCTGTTCAGAGAGAATAAAAATACTTTGTATTAAGATTTATTTTGTACCATTTCGCTCGCGGGATCGTGTACCTCTCATTATGAACACTACAAGTTAGTTCCTGATGCAGGGATGTGGATTTTTTGTACTAGAAATTGTAAATGTTATCTACATCAGGTGTTGTCCAGTTGTGTGCTTACTGCAGATTAAAAATTAAGTCTTTCTTGTTAAATGCTAACAACCATAAAAACAATTTTGTTTTAATGTTAAAATTAAATTCAGATATTTGTTTAATAGAATATTGATGTAATCACTTCAACATAATAACAATTTTTCAATCTCCTTACGTACAAAATATGTATCAATATGATTAATATATTAAATAGATAATTATCCATAAATGTAATATAAACAAACAACATCGCTAAACTATAAAGCTAGATACTAACCAAAGCCAAATTCTATCAGGCTAGAAATGGCTATATTTCTAAATAAATTATGCAAACAATTTGGCACTAGAGGGAGGCATTAGGTGCCATCTCTTAATAACCTTAATAATTATAATTTTTTTAATTAATTAACTTAAATAATTTAAAAATTACTGGAAAAAAAATCGACCCGGAGCAGGACGCAAACCCATAATTCGTGCTTACTCCTGCTAATGGTTCTTCAGAACCATTGAAAAACTGCACTCTTTGTCAAAGCATTGTGAAAATGAGTTTGCACAATGCTTTGACAACTGATTAAAAGAAATGCCAAGTGTGTATTGACATAAATGGGGAGTATGTTGAAATGTGACATCAAAAGTTTTCTTCAGAACCAACTGGTTTAGAAGTTATGGTTAAATGTTACATAATTCTGGTATGCATCTTGTATAACAGAGCCGGGAAAGTAAAATAGAAGTTCAATTAATGTTCATATTAAATGTTAAGGGCAACATTAAAAAATTTATTAGTTTGACATTCTTATAAATTGTAAATGAATCTTCATTATTAATAAAACTTACTGATAAAATTAAACTACCATATCTTACAGCATATAAGATACCTCCATTTCAGCACAAAATATTTAGGTAAAGTATTTCATGTATTTAAGCAATCCTGTGAATTTGGCACTTAGCACCAATTTTTTTTTTTACTGTATTCTGGTTTTAAAAAGTAAAATTAAAACGGCATACAGTGGAACTTCGGTATACGACCTTAATCTGTTCCCGATGTTTGGACTTATACCGAATTGGACGTATTCTAAAGCAGACGTATACCGAGGTACCACTGTACTTTTATTTATCAATGAAAAGTAAGAGTTTACAAAAAGTAATTTACCATTAAAGTACTCTATATGAGTACATGCAAAAACAGCTTAGCTATAAAAGTAATAGTAATAGTAATTATATGTTTAATTAAACAATAACATTTTTATTAAAGAGTTATGGTAGGTAAAGGTTATCTTTAGCCTAATAAAGGTCATTTTGGAAATTCATTAGCATATGAGAGATTACAACTTCACCTAAAATGCAGGGAGATTTTTGAGCCCTTTTTTAAACAACAGTCATGTCTTATATTCCATAAAATATGATAATTATTTTTCATATTTTACAAAGCAATAAATATTATAAAGATATATATATATATATATCCACATTTATAATAAATATATTACCTTCTGTGATCATCAAAGATACATTCTTTGAAAGAACCAGTTGTATGTTCCTGAGAATGTGCTAGTGGCATGATATGGAGACTTTCTGATGGTTGACTTGAAGAATTAGTAGAAAATTCCATTTTCTTACTATCTTTTGAATCAGAAGTAAAGTTGACTTCATGAGATTTATTAGAAATATCTATTTGTTTTGGTTCTTTAACACTTATCACAGATGATGAAACATTTTGTACATTACTTGGCACTAATTGTTGTGTAAGTTGAGATTTGGTTTCATTATATGGTTTATCTTGTGTAGAATGTTCATGAGATGATTTAGAAACAGGCAAGTAGGTAATAGGTAAACTATGAGGAGGAAGATCTGGAATTGACTGTATTTCTTGCAACATCCCATTAAGTAATTCATCTAATTGTTTACATTCTTCTTTTGGAGGAGACATGTTTGGTTGTCCAACAGTAACTTCAGTCTTGTGAGAAACTTCAACTTCTACATTATTAAGAATAGAAAATTTTGAGAATTATCAATATCAAAATTGTACTATTGCTTTTCAACTATAGGTAAAATTATGTTTAAATTAATAAAATTATAATAGCAGTATAGTAAGTTTTAAAACTATCAAGAATTTTTGTAAGAATTATAGTTATTATCAAAATTTTTTATATGTTTAGAGATAGACATTTTCAAAAAATATTAAATATTTATTATTAACCATTCACTTCAAATAATTTTTATGCAAGAATACTTAATTTTTAAAAAATCTATGATATTTTCAGTATCCCTTTTATGAAAAATTCTCACACAATTCAACTTCACAGAAATAAAATTAGTTTTAATATGAGAAAAATCTTTGCATTAAAAACTATTTGAATAGATTTTAATTGTATATACATTCAATATTGTAACATATTTTATTTGTAATCTGTAACAAATATGTTAGTATATTTTAATATTATGAATAAAGTCATACAGATTAGAAGGAAATATGTTACTTTTTCAATGACTGAATCAAATTGCTGAGAAGTTGTTTATAAGTAATTTTTCTTATATTAAAAGTATTTTTAATTTTTATAGAACTGAATTGTGTAATTATTTATTTTCTAATGAGAGAGATTTTTCTAGATACATAAAAAAATTACAGAAATAATAATTAATAAAGACTAAATCATTAACAATTAGATNACAATAACATTTTTATTAAAGAGTTATGGTAGGTAAAGGTTATCTTTAGCCTAATAAAGGTCATTTTGGAAATTCATTAGCATATGAGAGATTACAACTTCACCTAAAATGCAGGGAGATTTTTGAGCCCTTTTTTAAACAACAGTCATGTCTTATATTCCATAAAATATGATAATTATTTTTCATATTTTACAAAGCAATAAATATTATAAAGATATATATATATATATATCCACATTTATAATAAATATATTACCTTCTGTGATCATCAAAGATACATTCTTTGAAAGAACCAGTTGTATGTTCCTGAGAATGTGCTAGTGGCATGATATGGAGACTTTCTGATGGTTGACTTGAAGAATTAGTAGAAAATTCCATTTTCTTACTATCTTTTGAATCAGAAGTAAAGTTGACTTCATGAGATTTATTAGAAATATCTATTTGTTTTGGTTCTTTAACACTTATCACAGATGATGAAACATTTTGTACATTACTTGGCACTAATTGTTGTGTAAGTTGAGATTTGGTTTCATTATATGGTTTATCTTGTGTAGAATGTTCATGAGATGATTTAGAAACAGGCAAGTAGGTAATAGGTAAACTATGAGGAGGAAGATCTGGAATTGACTGTATTTCTTGCAACATCCCATTAAGTAATTCATCTAATTGTTTACATTCTTCTTTTGGAGGAGACATGTTTGGTTGTCCAACAGTAACTTCAGTCTTGTGAGAAACTTCAACTTCTACATTATTAAGAATAGAAAATTTTGAGAATTATCAATATCAAAATTGTACTATTGCTTTTCAACTATAGGTAAAATTATGTTTAAATTAATAAAATTATAATAGCAGTATAGTAAGTTTTAAAACTATCAAGAATTTTTGTAAGAATTATAGTTATTATCAAAATTTTTTATATGTTTAGAGATAGACATTTTCAAAAAATATTAAATATTTATTATTAACCATTCACTTCAAATAATTTTTATGCAAGAATACTTAATTTTTAAAAAATCTATGATATTTTCAGTATCCCTTTTATGAAAAATTCTCACACAATTCAACTTCACAGAAATAAAATTAGTTTTAATATGAGAAAAATCTTTGCATTAAAAACTATTTGAATAGATTTTAATTGTATATACATTCAATATTGTAACATATTTTATTTGTAATCTGTAACAAATATGTTAGTATATTTTAATATTATGAATAAAGTCATACAGATTAGAAGGAAATATGTTACTTTTTCAATGACTGAATCAAATTGCTGAGAAGTTGTTTATAAGTAATTTTTCTTATATTAAAAGTATTTTTAATTTTTATAGAACTGAATTGTGTAATTATTTATTTTCTAATGAGAGAGATTTTTCTAGATACATAAAAAAATTACAGAAATAATAATTAATAAAGACTAAATCATTAACAATTAGATGATATTAAAGATTTTTCTTAATGTAAGAAAACAGTTCAAACTGGCAGAAATGACAACTGTAGGATTTATAAAATTATCATGATACACATTTATGTACTAACTGAGTGACTGATTTTGTTAAAGCAAACAACATTTAAAAAGTAAATTTGAAAACATACTTCACACTTCTGGTTATTGCTTTCTTTCAAAAAATGCTCATGTTTACAATTTTAAAATTATTTGTGTATATTAACAAAATTAGTGTTGGACTGAATATTAGGGATTATTCAGTATTTGGATATATTTGGTCACAAAGTAAACATTCAGTATTTGGCCAAATACTAAAAATATATATTTGAAAATAGATATTCAGACTGAATAATTCATCAAAGCCAAACTATTTGACTGAATGAATAATTTCATTTTAGTTTGGGGAGAGAGAGAGAGGTAGAAAAAAAGAAAAGAAAGAAAAAAAGATAAAACACAAAATAGAATGAAAGCACATTTAAAACTCAGATAATGAAAAATATTGTTATTTATACTGTATATATTGTAAATATTGTTTTTCTTTCCCAAAACAATATAACTTTAACATTTGCTCAAGTTCATTTATTATTTATTAACAATCATAATTCAAGAGTGATAAACTGTAATGAAGAAACATTAATGCATCTATATTCCTAGGAAGTAAGCAATTTTCTTCATATCAATGTTCTGCTCTTGAAAATAATATGTAAACAGAGACAAAATTTCTTTGCACTTGGCTGTTCTTTCAAGTGTTTTTAAACAGCATAGTTTTTTATAAATATGATTATTTTTTCACAATATCTAAAAATATATACACAGGTATATGATAAATACCATATTGATAGCAAGGGATGTCTTTTATCAAGAGCAACACTAAACATAACACAGCAGCTGCTTTTAAAGTATTGTTTTGTACCATACATTTCTTCTAATTCAACTATAAGTCTTTCAATTACTTTTGAAAAATACAAATATTTCTTTTATCTAAGACAATGTTATTTCTTTATTCTAAAAATCACCAAATAAAACTTTATCACCATTTATAAAAATCTCTTATTTCTTCCACTAGTTACATTTTCATGAATGAAAAAACTGAAAAATAACTAAATAAACACAAAATAAATGTTTATTTAGTTTTGTACACGCTCACCACAAAAGAAATGACATTAATTTTGAGAGAGACATAAAGCCACTGCTGCAGTTCTATCTCAAAGTTTTTTCATACCCAAAGTATGATTTACCACTTAGTGTTTACATTCATCCCACTGTGTATTGACATAACTCTTTCTATCTATATATATATAATCGAGATGGGTTGATGATGATAATAATAAGCGCAGAGCCCAAATGGTTAGGAGTTGAAAGTTGAAATTTGGTACACAGATAGGGTATGTCACGAAAACGCACACTAAGACGGGATTTTTCAAAATTCCTCCCCACAGGGGAGAGAGACAGGATTAAGGCTTAACACTTCCATCAACAATGGAAGTGTTAAGTAACAATAGAAGTGTTAAGTAGCAATGAAAGTGTTGAGTAACAATGGACATGTCAACAATGGAAGTGTTACGTAACAATGGAATTGTTAAGAGAAAGCGACGTGCGGATGCAGTTTTTTTTGTTTTTGCGGGAAATCGAACATATTTTTAGACCCATCTAAAAATTCTCTAATTAGTCTGGAAACATGGGGACCCAATTCTTACATTCTGTGAGAATGGGAAAGGTTGACTATAACGTAAAAAACTTAATCTTTGCTATCGTTACTTTTGCCCAAGCAACGCCGGGCCTACCTGCTAGTATATATATAATTGAGACGGGTTGATAATAATAATAATCAGCGCAGAGCCCAAATGGTTAGGAGTTGAAAGTTAAAATTTGGTACACAGTTAGAGTACGTCACGAGAACGCACACTAAGAAGGAATTTTTCGAAATTCCCCCCCCGGGAAGAGGGACAGGATTAAGGCTTCGACAATGGAAGTGTTAACTAACAATGGAAGTGTCAACAATGGAAGTTTTAATAATGGAAGTGTTAAGAGAAAGCAACATGCAAGATTTACAGTTGCAGATGCGGTTTTTTTGCGTTTTTGATTGCATTTTAATAGGGTACATCACGAGAATATACCCTAAGAAGTGATTTTTTGAAATTCCACCAGTGGGGGTGAGGTTGTTAACACTTCCCCTGCAGGGAAGTGTCAACATTGGAAGTTTTAAGATAAAGCGACGTTCAAGATTTACAGACGCAGATGCAGTTTTTTGTTTTACGGGAAATCAAACATTTTTTAGACCCATCTAAAAATTCTGAGTAGTCTGGAAACAGGAGTTTTCTTGTTTCCAGAATACCAATTCTTGTATTCTTTGAAAACGGATAAGATTGACTATAATGTAATAATCTTAGTCTTTGCTATCGTTACTTTTTGCCCGAGCAACACCAGGCCTATCTGCTAGTCAGAAATAACTGTCCTTTTTATCCTGTTTTGATACAGAAGTTACAACTCCAAATTGTTCAAATCTACATTCCAACATTCATTCCACTGAACTTCGTTTCAAATCCTCACTCCATTGACAATTTTTTTATTTCATTTTTGACACTCCAAACTTTTTAAATCATAAAGTATTATGTTTAAAAATGATGAAAAGGTAAAAATGTATAGAAAAAAATGCTACAGTAATGTATTGATACTCTTAAAATCTCTTGAGAGCAAGACAAGCACAAAAATAATAAACATTAATATAATTGTAAAGAGCTGTATTAGCAAAGTGTTCTAAAGCAATGCATTTTAAAGTAAAGTATGACTTTAATAAATTTTATTTTTTGAATAATCAATTAATCACAATAAAAATGTTATGATTAAACTTTCTCTCAGGAAAGTACCTAATTTTTAAAAAAAGAACACACATTATATCAATATGTTTTATCCAAACAAATTGAATACATAACAGCTTATATGCACTGTATCTGTTGTATCCTGCACAGTCACTAATTGTTGTGAGTAGTAAACAGATTCAAATAATGAATTAGTCTTGTAAAAGAACATACTCTAATTTATAAATGATTCATCTATTATATTTTATAAGCTCATGCTACATGTAATAAATGCACAGGATTTCTTAAAACTTACACCCTCATCTGTGGAAGATGATGATATATGTATCTATTGAATCTAAAAATAATAAATAGAATTTTATAAGTTGGGCAGTGAATGAGAAGCATACCAAAACTAATGAAAAGTGGAAGCAAATTAACGCCTTCTGGGTTCTTCCTCAGGTTTTCTTAATTCTAAATAAGCTGGATCTTCCAAGTCATTCAAGTATATAGAATTCGAATATAAAATCAAACAGTAAGATGGAGAGTTTAAATAAAGGGAATTTATGCACATGCATTCCCATGTTATTTTTAAACACTAAATATCACTGTCAAGTAAAGCCTGCCATGCCATTGATAGAGACATCTCTTCCCTAAAATTAATGCACGATTTGCAGTAAGCCTTAAAAATCTTGACTGCCTCTAACCACTTGAGATGTTCTGCATGTGGAGTAGTAAGGATGTTTTGGGATCTGGGGAAGACTGCCATAATATCAGGGTCCATTGCATACGTGGAGAGTGCAGTGGTACTCCTACTATGCTGTATATCCAATTTATGCTCACGTATCACCCATTGAATGTTTAATAGACCCAATGTACACCATTTCTCTATCCCATCTGTTTTCTCTGATAGGGACACTATAAATGCCCAGTAGTCTGTCAGGGTTATGGATCTTTTCCATTACATAGTAGGACAAATATGGAAGGGCATCTTCCATAACTAATACTGACCCATCGTTTTTTGGCAGTTGTGGTGTATAATGATTTTAACTGTGGGTTAAAAGTTAGAAGGATCCTCTCCATATCCTCTTCCTGTTTATCTCTCAACATTTCCGTCAAAACGGTGGATCCTGCCTGTGCACATCTATACTGCTCACACACTCTTTGTATAAGGTTGACATAATCATGTGTCCTGGCTATCCATTCTATAAGCCCTAATTCCTCTGCCAGTGCTTATGGGGTAGAAGAATGTGTGAATGCTCTTCTAACTAAGGTCCCGAAGGCTGCCATCTTGTATGGAAATGGATCACATGATCCAATTGGGATATACGTGGAGATTACACATGGTTTACAATAAATAGATGTGTATATGCCTAACCCTTCAACCCTAATATCTATGTCTAACAAATGGACCAAGGTGGGGCTGTGCTGTTCCACCTCAAGAAACAGCCTGTATGGATTGTCATTCATTGCATCAACAAGCTGTATCAAATTCAGTATTGTCCTCTAGAAAATGATTATGTCATCAATATATCTCTTGTACAGGACAATATTGTGGAGGGTCCTGCTTTCCAAGTTTCTTTCCAATTGTGAAGTTACAGCTAAGTAATAAATTACATTTGTTATTTATTGCTTAGCTGTACTTCACACTGATTATTGGTTGTAGAAAATCTTATTTTATTTGTAGTTAAAATACTGTAGATATCAATGTTCTGTAGTAAATATCACTGTTACTATACTGGTACTTTATGACTAACTAGATAAACAATCATTTAACTCTTTCAACTTTATAATGTACCATTAGCTTTCAGTTGCCTGTTTGAAGTTAAGTTATAAATTACACTTACAGTCCCTGTGTATATTACACTACAAAATAGTCAGAAAACTTACCAAAATATTACATCTATGTAAGTACAGCAGTATGTACCAAGTTTGTATAAAATAACTGTATAAGTATATGGGAGCTGTAATAAAAGTCTAGAAGAATCATATGTGGCTTGTGAGCATCAGTTTGGCCACCATTATATAATCTGTATTTATATGTAATTGTGAGTGTAATGTAAAGAATATGTCTGTAAGACATACATATATCATTTTAACAATGTCCTTGAAAATGTTAAAAGAAAAATGGTTACTTTACATTAATACTCCAATTAGAGCTCAGATATGTTCCTAGTAAATGAAATGCTCTGTTTGATCTTTGCAGAATATATCCAATTGTGCAAATGAGTTTTGAAAAAAAAGCAGTCCTGGGAATATTGCTTCACTTCATTATTCATATGATCTCAGGAAAATTTGCAGTAGAAAATTAATATTCCAGCAATAGCCACAAAAATATTGTAATAAAATGGAATAGAGTCTTAGCTATGTCTGCAGACATTAATTGGGAATACAGTACTTACAAAATGTAGGAAAACTGTGTGTTTTTTAAAATGAAATTGAAACATCATTTATTTTGTTTCTAATCAGCACAGTCATTTGTTACATCACTTTGTACTTACAAAATCATGTACTTGCAGCAAAGACAAGTCAGTCTCTCTGAACCATAATTTTGGTTTTTATGGAAAATTGAAACCAAAACTTTAAAAAGAACCAAAAAAAACCCATTTTTATTTCAAAACTCTTTTTGACACTATTTAAATGACAAAATTTTAGGTTGGTTTGAATTAAAACGAAATATTCACTCATTCCCAAATAAATAAAGTTTGCAAATTAATAAATTGTGTTTAAAAACTTTTTCCAAATTGTCTTAATTCAGTAGATAAATAGAAGTAATATCATCTTTTTATAAACATTATTTTCCTTCATTTTTCATATTTTTTCATAGACATATAAAATAAAAACTATTAACATCAAACATATTTTAAAACAGTGTAAAAATATGATCAAGTTTCAAAAAATAATTAATTAATTATTAATAATAATAAAAGTCAGTTAAAAACTCAAAAAAGGTTTATCTTTTTGCAAAAGCTTAATGCATTTCTTAAATAATTTTACAGAAAAAAGTTGTAGAGTTGTCATTGTAAATAAATTTTGTAGTTTTCGATATCAAAAACTATTAATTTTCACCCTGTGCTATAAATAGTTATTTGTGGCATTGACAACAACTCAATTTTATTTTGATTAATCAATGTATTACATCAGGTTTACAATTGTATATGCTATCCTATGATGATGAAATGTGCTTAAATTAAAGTGTTCTTTTAATTTAAAATTTTTTCATTTATTTGTGTTTAGTGTTGGGTGGAAAATTCTATGGTATGCCTATTTAATTATTTATATGATTTAATTTGAATTTTCCAAACTACAAAATAATAATTAATTGGTTTGTAAATTGTTGTTTTATTTTGTGTTAAATAATTCTCAGGAAAACCTTGTGTATGCTTCAATGAAATTTTCAGTCCTGAAAATATTCTGTACATCTGCTATTACATACATTGAAATTCAATTCTAAGTAAGTTTTGATCTATCAGCCTACACACATATATGTGTATGAATGTGTGTATTTTATATAGCAAATAAAACATGCACAAATAGTAATATTAAATACTGAACAATGTCAAGATTAACAGCATACTTCTGGAATGAGAAACTAGACTGCAGTTCTTCCTCATGTTTTGGCTGCTTCAAAATATATACAAAGGAATGATTACTTGTTCTTTAGATGTCTCTCATAAAACAATTTTTGTTAGGAAGAAAGTATATCAAAACTATCTCTCTTTGCCTGAATGTTGCATTCAAATCAGAATCTTTCAATATGTGCACAATATGATTATGACAGAGCTTGGATTAACAGAAGATATCATGTTAAGGGATGTGAGCATATATAATACATTTTGATTGGATAAATGAATATAAGCAAAGTGATCTCAATATGCTATGAGTGTTTGGAAACGTCAGTTCCAATTAGTTGTACAAGTTTCATCATTTTTTATATTTCCTAATAACAGTAGCACTGCAAGATATGGAAGTACTATAATAAAACAGCATTATATAGGAAAATGCTTATTGTGGTATTATTTTATAATGGATAAAAATTATTATTTTTAAATAGTATATGTACAGAGATGGCAATATAAAAGGAAACTTATTACAAATTTTAAGTGATGATAAATGCATTTGATAGAATCGATAATCTTTATATTTAAGTAAAATTTGAATTTAAATTCAAATCAATAGGAATGTTAAATTTTCAAACAGTACTTCAACAGAGTAAAGCTTGTAATCTGTTTCACTACTTCATTAATTTTTTAAATTAACAGGAAGTTTTTAACAGCAAATATTTATTTTAATTTACTATTTAGGAAGTACAGCATCATTATCAAAAATGGTAATAAACAACTTACGAATAATACCAGACGTTTGAGTGATATTTCCATTCACTTGAGCTTGTTGTTTTGTTGCAAGAGGGGGAGAATGAGCTGTTACTTGTATACCAGATGCAGATGATATTCCCGAGTCCATACTGAGATGTGGACCATCAGCATCACTTAAATTATCTTGATTATTTGGTGGTGATGAAGATGATGATGATGATGTAATTATTAATGGCTTTTTCTTAATAACAGTTGCATACAAACTACCATCCAATGGTCCCTCAGTATGATGAACTAAATTTATAAGGATAAATAACTTAAAATATAATAAGGGATAAATTTAATAAACTACAGTATTCGCTGAAATAACAAAAAAAGATAGTATTGTGTTTAGCAGAATATATGGAATAATTATAAGATTTCTAGCTATTTTAATAAAAATAAAAAATATATATTATGCATTAGTATAACAAAAATTATATTTTATAAAGAAAACTTTATATAAGCAGTGTCAATATTTCTGCAAAGCTTGAAACTGTCATACATTATTGAAACTTATAGGAAATAATATTCTTTACACATATTCTGTAATTTACCAAAAGTATACTTTATATCTAAATATGTATTAGTTAAATATCAATATAGTATTTTAAAATCATTAAAAAGAATTTAAATAACAATGCACATTGCATTACAATTAGCATAAATTCAATGTCTCTTAAAATAATGCTATTTCTAATGAGTATTCTTTATCAATGTTATTAGAAAATAACCAGATTTTTTATTAATTCGTCATTTATAGCTATTCTTTGCTATAAATCTAATAGTTTTCAATAATGAATGTAGAAGGCTTTCATATTATTAGAAGTTAAATAAACGATAATTTTAAATATTATCTTAGAAAACAAGTAAAATGGCAAGGCCATTTTTGGGACGAGACTATGTCTCGAAGACTCAGGGCTCGACTGCATACCATTTTCTAAGAAAAAGGGAAAAATTCGCACTAACCAATGAGGAAAAGCCAACACCAGTACTTGAAGTCCTGGCATAGATTACAGCGGACTTTGTTGCCACTGTGGTTACAATGGGTCATGCTAATGGAGGGCTAAAGATCAAAGTGTAGCAAAAGTAAGGGAGAAATAAGGAAAGCCTCTTGGTATAAGATACCTAAGCAAGGCTGGAAGATGAGAAGAGAGCTGGTTCAGAAGGAGTTATGTTGTCACAGACCTGTTCTTGGCTACGTTAAGTGTGTGAAATCCGCGATTTTTACGCTGATGTCGGAAAAATCTTTGTAAACAACTCCGAGGAAAAACCCACTCTTGGTGAGAAGTATATCGAAGGTCACCGATTGTTTTCACATTAAGGTGGGAAAGTTGACACTTAGTTGATCGGAATGCACTGTAAGTGTCAACAGAAGTCGATCATTTCGACTTTGTCGATCATGTGACTCATTTCCCACGAATAACGTATAAAAGCTCGAGTCCCCGGAAGCTCAGGGCGATCTCTCGGAAGTTATACTTGGTAGATGTGCCATATTTGTCTCCATACTCCGTACCGAAAGGACATACGACCAACCACAGCCATTTGAACTTCCATCGCCATTAATGAACATATTCAACGAACGCATATTAGACATATCCGCATAGAGGTATTTGTACTTTTAGAGCTTTGTGAACTCTCTCTCAGACTAGCAGGTAAAGCTATTAGAGCATTCCTTTTGTATAGTGAACTTATTTAATCGCATTTAACCTATGTATCCTAGCTTATTTATATAAATAAATGCTTGTTTAGTTTTTAAACCTGTCTCCTGTCTCTGATGGACACCTGCCGACTTATCGACGCACTCCCCACTCAATTTTTGCCCTCCTAGCCATCCGACAAGCCGAGAACGGGTTTTACCAACCTGTTGCAGAGTAAGTGGTCATTTGGGATGAGCCCAGTGGCCCACTGCTAATCTCACAAATGGGAAGATATTTGTACCCAAATTGTCCCGATATTGTTCTTGTCATTTTGCAGGATGGCAAAATGACAAGGTCATTTTGCAGGATGGCAAAATGACAAGAGAAAGAGAATATACATTTGTCAAAATTCAATTTCACAACACTCGCATTTCAAAATTTCTAATGAGCAACGTATGTGCAAATCTCACACTAGCACTTGTTTGTAGAAACAGTGTCAAAACTGCCATGATTTGGGCACCAAATACTCTGTGCCAAATTGCAACTCATGACATGTACTCCTTCATATCTCTAAGGTGTCCAGCATTGACAGCAGCACAATTTTATAGATAAGACATAGTCTCGTCAATAATTATAAAGAACTTTACTGATAGTGTAGATGAAGATATATGTAATCCCTTTTAATACTGAAATATATTCTAAGAGAACTACACAAGTATATCTTTCTATTGTTTTTTTACAAATTTCATTAGCTATAACATTTTTTCTTTTATATTATAATGGATTTTTTATTTCAACAATAACAATTATAAAATCATAATCATGTTCAAATAATTATATAATTAAATATACACACACAATTTATTTTACAATTTATTTTTTAATAAGAACAAGCTTTTAGTATTTAATTTGCTGGTTTGCATGTAATATTTTAATTTTTATCATTTTGTTAACTGGAAATAATTTTATTTAAAAATATCCATTTGCAATAAAAAAAATCATGATGATTCTCCAAAAATTTATTCATTTATTATGCAATAAAAGAATTTTATAACTTTGATTATCAACATTAAGATTCAAAGTTCTTCTGTAAAAAGCAATAATGAATTATACACCTAAAGTTTATCTATTATTAGTGAATAACTTGAGTGGAAATTTAATAACTTTATCATGTATATCCAAATTATGCCTTTGATTCTAGGTTCAGTTTTCATTAATCTCTTAAATAAAGGATAATAGTTTGGACATCTGTACAGTTTGGAAAACAGCCATATTCAAACACAATTTAAAGAAAATGGATAGTTTTTCCTACATTTTATCAATGTTATTAATTATAAATAAAATGTTACAATGTCATAAATTATATTTAAAAAAACAGTTTTAGTAAATATAGACTAAATCTTCTTCTTCATCTGGCATTATGGGCCTTGGAGGCCCTTAGCTGCAGTCACAATCTTTCTCCATCTCATTCAGTCTATAGCCTGCCTCTGTCAATCTTTGATTCTGAGGTCTTGAAGATCTTCAGTGACCCTATCTATCCACCTTTTTCTTGGACGGCCTCTTGGCCTCTTCCCTTTCCCCTCATAGTGAAGCCCTTGTGAAGCTGTTGTCATTATAGGAAGCCTTATGACATGGCCTAGCCACTGTAATCTTCTGGCTTAAATCACCTGTGTGATCATGGGCTTGCCATAGATTGTCTTCAGTTCCTGGTTTGTTCTTTTTCTCTATATTGGTTCTCCATTGACCATGATATCATTTTTATCATAGTCTTTCACAAGTCTGAAGATTTTCCTAATATTTTTTTTTCTTCGAATCTCTGCAGTTGTAGATCCTCCTTCTTTGTCATTGGCCATGTTTCACATCCATATAGAATTGCAGGTCTAATCAGTGACTCATATACAGTTAGCCTTTATCCTTTTACTACAGAGTCTGTTTTTTAGTATGTTGTGAGCCCAAAGTAGACTTTGTTTCTCTGTAGCAAAAAAGTCCCTATCTCCTTCTTGATGTCATTGTTTCTGTTTATGTCAGTCCCTAAGTACTTGAAAGATTCCATAGTGCTGAATGTCATATTGTCTATGGTTAGATGTTCTTTGTAGGATTTTCCCTTTTTGGAAATAACCATGTATTTGGTCTTCTCTTCATTGATGATCAGACCCATGCTCTTGGCAGCTGTTGCTAATTTTGATGTTAATCTCGTCACCTCCTCTTGAGATGCTCCAATTATGACAATGTCATCCGCATATGCTAGTAGTGACAGTTTGTCTCTTGAGTCATTTTCCCTTTTATTGTCTATCTCCTGGGCCATTCTGACAACTTTTTCTAGAGTGATGTTAAAGGGAAGAGGAGACAGGGCGTCTCCCTGTTTCAGTCATGTTTTGCTCTAAAAGTTGTCCAACCTTGTGGCCCTGGTTTTTACTGTATACCACACCTCTTTCATGCAAATTTCTGCAATTCTGGAGGCCAGTTTGATATTCACCCATGATTCCCTCCATGTATGGAGTCAATTTCCTCATAACTAGAGATGACAGGATCTTGTATGTCACCTGGAGTAAGGAGATCTCCCTGTAGTTTTTACATTCCATTTTATTTCCTTTCTTATGGATGGGGATTATGCCTGCTTCCTTCCATTCCATTGGCATTCTTTCCTGTCTCTAGATCTGCAGAATCAGATTATGGATTGTCCTTTACAAGCTGCTGTCCACCATATTTGATGAGCTTGGGTTTGATATTGTCAGTCCCTGCAGCTTTCTGATTATGTAGATTTTGTATGATGACCTGAACTTCACTCTTAGTAGGTTCTTTAACTTCTGATTGAACAGTGCATTTTGGGAGGAATGTGGCTGCAGTCATGGGATCTGAACAGTTCAGGAGATCCTGGAAATATTCTTTCCATCTTTTGGAAACTTTCCTGTTCATTGGCTAACAGCCTCCCACATGCATCCTTGATGACCAGAGGTTTTGGTCAATATGTGTTGTATAGAGTCTTAATGTCTCTGAAGAAATCTCTCACTTTCCGCATCTTATGATTATTCTCTGCTTCTTCAATCAAATCTGTGAGAAATTTCCTTTTCTGCTGTCTAATAGTCTTCTTAGACTGTTTTGATGCCTCATCATATTGGTTTTTGATGTATAGGTCTTCTGGGTTGTCCAGCCAATTCATTCTTGCTTTCTTTTTTTAATTTACCACTTTCTCACATATGCTGTTAAATCATGGTTTTCTTGGTCTGTATTCTCTAGGTAAGGTTTTTATGGCTATTTCTAAGATGGATGTGCACATTGCTTTCCAGGCTTGGTCCATTTCCATCTCTTTCATCATATTTAATTTTAGAGCTTTTCCTATTTCTTCCTGGTATTGTTGCCTGGTGTCATTAGCTTTGAGTTTATGTACATCATATGAAAAATGATAGTTTAGCTTGTCCTTCGTCATTACCTGGAGTTTCACTTTCATGCTGGCTCTCAGCTGGAAGTGATCTGTTCCTGCTTCTGCTCCTCTGAGACTACATATGTTTTTTATGCTATTACGATATCTCTGGTTAATGAGTATATGATCTATTTGGTTCCTAGTTTTGCCATCTGGGGATATCCATGTTTGGTTGCAAGTGTCTTTTCTAGGGA